GTCTGCCTCCTGGTCCTTCCGGCCGCCCTCCAACCCCGTGTGCGCATGCAGCCGTGCAGGAGGAGCGCCAGCGGGGCAAGGACAAGGATGGGGAGGGCGACTTGGCCGGGGGAGGCGTCAACGAGGAAATGCCCGTGGAGAAGATCCTGGAGGCCGAGCTCGCTGTGGAGCAGAAGTCGGACCAAAGCGTCGACGGAGCCGGCACGGGGGGCAGCTCGGTGAGTTGGGGAAGGGGAGCAGCGGGATCAGAGCGGTTCCTCCACCACCCCACCGACACAGACAAGGTAAGGGGGCCGGGTGGGGAGATCCGGGGGGAGGTGGGCCTTTGGGGAGCTGCTTAGAAGGGGCTCCGCCTCCGGCGTGGTGATGGGGGGCCGCCGGTGGAAGCGTCCTCCATCCCACCCTCCCCCTGCCCTGTCGCCCCACCCCCCCTGCAGCCCAATGACCCGGTGACCAACATCTGCCAGGCTGCAGACAAGCAGCTCTTCACCCTGGTGGAGTGGGCCAAGCGCATCCCCCACTTCTCGGAGCTGCCCCTCGACGACCAGGTCATCCTGCTCCGGGCTGGTGAGTGTCGGGCCTGGCTTGGGCTTCAGCCTCCGGGGCGGGAGTCCGGCCTCCCGGAGCTGCCCTCTCACGGGAGTCTCTTTTCCCGACAGGCTGGAACGAGCTGCTGATCGCCTCTTTCTCCCACCGGTCCATTTCAGTGAAAGATGGGATTTTGCTGGCCACAGGGCTCCACGTCCACCGCAACAGCGCCCACAGTGCTGGCGTGGGAGCCATCTTTGATAGGTGCGGGGTGGGCATCTGTGGCCCTGGAACCAAGTGGAGGAGGCTGGGGGGCCTTCCGTGCCATTCCAGAGATGCCGGTTGCACCCCAGGCCCCACATGCCAGGAGGGGAAGGGAATTGGGCATGCCAGCACGGAAGCCTCCGTGCCCAGTCCGAGATGCCCCACCAAGGCCAGGCTGTTCTGCTCTCCCAGGGTGCTGACTGAGCTGGTGTCCAAGATGAGGGACATGCGGATGGACAAGACGGAGCTGGGCTGCCTCCGGGCCATCATCCTCTTCAACCCAGGTAGGTGGAGGCAGCGCTTTTTCTCAACCTCTCACCCCAAGGGCCCCTGGCACCCCGAGGACGAGTTGCCCCCTGCCCCCTGCGATCTCGCTCTTCTTTGCCCCCAGACGCCAAGGGGCTGTCCAACCCCGGGGAGGTGGAGCTGCTGCGCGAGAAGGTCTATGCCTCGCTGGAGTCCTACTGCAAACAGAAGTACCCAGATCAACAGGGCAGGTATGGCTGCCGGGGGGGGGGGGTAGCACCTGGGGCAGGGCAGGGCAGGGAAGGGGAGCCCGCGGGCTCCCC